CAAAACTCAAAGGCTTGTAAACAATATTTGGTTGACAGATGTTGACACTTCACGATACAGCAAAAATTAGCTGTCGCCGTCAACCATTTATAGCACCTAGAGCCATCTTTTGAAAACGGACCGAACTAAGTTGTACACCCAATATATAAAATATATATATATATATATATATATATATATATATATATAATATATAAATATAAATATATATATATATATATATATATATATATATATATAAGTAAATTAACTTTCTTTCCATACTGCATTAAAATATTCTTTAAAATGTCCACTATAAAAAAACATAAGTTTTACTTTGAAAAGGTAATTCAGAATGAAAGCATAATAAAGTTAAATGATGTTATCTTAAAAATATTACACCTAACCTCATTATGCTTTCTAAGCGATGCAAAATGGGAGACATTTTACAAAACTTGCTCATTTCTGAATCATCAATTTTCAAACGTTTTTTAAAGTGATTTATTAAGATATGCAATGTATAAAGATGTGTTATTGCACGTTTAATTAATTATTTAGTAATTATTTGTAATTATTATTTAGTAGTTATTTGTAATTGTAATATTATTGCAATTTTAATTAATTGTAATTATTTATTGACAACATTTCTTTCATAAAACAATAAGACTATCTTCTTTGTTGTCTTCTTTATTAAAATATTAATGACAGCCAATATTAAGTTAGCAATCTTTAGTAATCTTTTAAAACATATATAAAAAGATATATATGAAAATTAAATATAAAAAAATATTGCAACTTAATACTTTAAGGAAGTTGTGACGGCATTATCTCATTATGGCCCCAAATGTATAAGTTTGGATTAGATAGTACATATAAAATATTATAGATTGTGTCGCACGATATTTGCACAGATAACTTGACTAAAATGACGAGTGATTTTGAATTGCAGGCGCGATTTTGCGATAAAAGTCCAATTACGTATCGCATTGCAATTCAAGGAAAGAAAATTGCAGTGCTTGCAATACATCGCAAAATCGCACATCTCTAATGATGATGCGATATTGCGTGATATATCAATAGTAATAAATTAATAATATTAGTTATATAATCAATAGCTATTTATTAGCGATATAATGATAGAACTATTAACATAAGAGGCGCACTTTGGTCATTTATTCCTTTTTTTATTATTACATTTACCAAGTTGTTAATAATTTCGGTAATTATTTAGTATAGAAGGATCAGATTCAATGATCTCGACATATGTTGTTAATATTCTATTGAGTGACATTCAAAAGTTTTTTTAGCTGGCCGGTTATTAAAAAGTTATAAACAAAAGAAGATTTATAAATGCAACGTAGTTCTCTGATATTGTGTAAATTACAAAATGGATGGCGTTGAAGGTTTACGAAAAACCAATATGTATATGCAAAACGGTACACGTATATGCGCGGATGTGGAACTCTCCCTCCTTTCGCAGTTCCTACCCAAAGTAAACTAATTTAATCCAATCTTAATAATTCAAAGTGATTAAATATTAGATACATTAAATTATTCACAGTAAGTTAGATTAGGCTAGTTTACTTAGAGGAGGGAGTGTGGCGGGAGATGTAGAGTTCCTCTTCCGTGCATACAGGGTGAGTAAAAAGTCTTGGACCGGTGAAATATCTCAAAAACTAAGCATTTTCGAAAGAAATGTTTCCTATAAAAGTTGTAGGGTTCCAAATGATCTATTCACTGATCTGATCAGTCTGACCTTGAGTGGCGTCCCCAAGGTCAAGACAAGGAAAACTTTGTTTTTTTAAATAGAAATATTTATTTTCTATTACGGAATTTTATTCTACGTAAAGAAACAAAAAATTTCTATTTGAAAAATTTTTCATATGATCTCTATTTTCTAAGATATTTACGGAAATATCTACAAAATTATTGGTTTCAATAATTTTTTATTCGAATTCTATCAATTTTACTGAAAAATAGTAAGAGATAAAAATTGTTTATTTTCTTCTCATAGAGCTCTCAGAATTTTTTTCAGAATTTTGTATTATCTTTTTAGTAATTCAAGAAAATGTAAGAAAATGCAAAAAAAAATGCAATATTAAAAAAATTAATACAAAATTCTGAAAAAATCTCAGAGTTACACAATATTACAGTAATTAAATTTTATGTGCAATATGTTTTGATAAAAAATTGAATTTAAAATTTAAGTTTTTGTAATAAAGGTTTCTATTTTATATGTGTATTATATTTTTCACAAATAATATGTATTAAATATCCTATATTAAAATGAATATGTCAATTTATGATTTTACTTTATAAAATAATAAGTACAGAATCTTGAACATAAAATATGTATGGATCATCTATTTCTTATGACCATTTTGTCTTAAAAATTTAGGTAAGATGGCTAATGTTCATGTTTTGATATTTTTGTAATTAATAATAAATAATTTCACTGAAGTATTTTCTTTTTAACTATGATGATATTATGTACTGTAGGCTTCAATGAAGTAATGTGCCAAACGCTATTAAGAAATAACAATAAGAAATGTATTTTTTTTGCATTTTAAAAATGTATGGCCATCTTATCCGAGTTTACTCTACTTATTCCATGATTTCTTACAAAAGAGAGAAAGAGTAAACTACATTATGTATACCTATTATTAAATTTATTAACAATTTTCAATAACTAAATTGCAAAATCCGACTTTGCACTAACAATTATTTTTACATAAAAAATAAAATAAAACTACATGCTGCCTTCCAGCGAATATATCAAGATATTTCTATCCAATCAAGAATACCTAATACACATTATCAGCGCGTGACTAGCGTATCATCTATTGAATAGATGATAATTAGATAATAACTAAAGTAACGGTAAAAGTAACGGTTGAATTCGTTACCGTTACAATAAGAATATAACAATGGTATCGTTATCATTACAAAAAAAAGTAGCAATCGTTA